TGGCCTAAAGTAATCACAAGTATATGTCAAAGAAAAAGGAAGAAATTAAGGCAGAGGAAAGCTAATAGATATGGAAGACAAAAGATGATTCAACACATCAACATTTGGTGTATTAAAGAAGATAATCTAACAAATGGAATTGAAATGTATTTAGAGATAAAAGAAAATTACCCTGCTATGGAAAAAACAAAATCCACAGATATAAAATGCTCAACACTAAGCCATATCCTGGAAAAGCTACTGAGCCTCAAGGTAAGGATAGGATTCTTTATGCAGAGAATATCAGAACAGCCTCAGTTTTCTCCACAGTAACATTCGATGCAAGAAGACAGTGTAGCAATGTGTCTATAAGATCTTCCAAGAAAAAAAATTACCTCAAAGTACTATATTCCATCCAAAATATATTCTGGTTTAAAGGCATGTCTGGTTCTCAAACATGAAAGAATCCAGGGAATATAGCATTTCCGAGCCCTTCCTGCAAAAACTTACAACAAAATCAGGTAAGAATTGAACCAGAAAAAAGAACTCAGCAATGGAAATAGGATGGTGAAAGGACTAAATAGTGAGCAATCACTCCATTTAAATACCGAATGAATGCTATAACATTATGGGAAACAGTTTATAGTATACCATGGCTTTTAAAGTATGCATTTATCTGTACATATACATAGGAAAGAGGTCTGATAAGATGTTTACCCAGTATTAATGATTCTTTATGGCTATTGCCATTTGGAGTGATTTTTCTAATTTTATTTATTTTTCTACACTTAAAATTTTTTTATAATGAGCATTTTTTTCCTTTTTTTTTTTTTAAGTGGAGAAAGGTTTATTGCAGGGCGAAGCAAGGAGAACAGGTGGCTTGTGCTCAAAAACCCCAACCTCTGAGCATTTTTTTTAAACAGTTAATTTTCATTAAAAATCTGAAGACAAAAATACTAATATATTAACAGTTTGGGTGATGGAAATAGATTTGTTATTTCTTATTTATACTTCTCTATGTTTTTTATTTCTAAAGTTTAAAACATATTAATAAAAATAAGAAAATACACCAAAATATTAAATAGTAACTATCATGGGTATTAGAATTTTATGTAATTTTTTAAAAATTATGTGTATTGTCCAGGTTTATTACAATGAAAATGTATTACTACTAAAGACATTTCTTCCCTCATAAAAGATATCTTTTAAAAGGGGTAGATAGAAAGAAAGGACTTTTCAGATGGCATAGCATTATTAATAAAAGAGAAAGAACAGGGAGGAAAAGCACGAGATTAGCTCTGCTGACGTAGAGTGCGGCAGGATGGAGTGTTAAGTAGGGCAAGTAGTTAAGGATTTGGCTGGAGAGATGGACTGAGGTCAGACCACAAGGGTACGGAATGGCAGGTAGAGGATTTGATATATTGGTAGGAAAAACCACTAAAAATTATGAGGGAAAAGAGTCTGTACTTCCTGGTCTTTCTGCACACTGAGATTTCTTGGATAGTAGTTCAGTACAATGTTTTATTTCACACCTTCACCTTTTCCCACCATCTACAGAAACCTACATGAGTAAAAGTTATCAAATAATTGAGAAGACTAGACACTGAAGAGAAATTTGTGTTTGCTAGAATCCACAGCTTATGTCCTTTGTTTAAAAACAAAGGAGACAAATGAGTAAAATTGGATGTCTGAAGGGAACAAGTTATTTCCAATTATCACCACTATTACCTTTTAATTTATCTTTAATATTTTCTGATAAACGTTTTGTGAGCTGAGGCATTTCTTCTGGAGAGTATTCAGCATTTGCCAGTTCTTGCTTGAGTACAGCATGGATACAGTCTTTAACCACAGAGGGTCTGAACCTAAATGAAAGTATGAAACATCTAATTGGTGACTCTAAAACCATAATTGACCTTCACAGCTCAACTTCCCCCAGTTTTTTGTCATTAAAACTATATAATCCTTCTTTTTTTCATGTTTTTTATTATAAAAGTAGTAAAAACAAATAAAGAAAACAAGTCATATTCCAAATTTTTATCTCCAGCCTGGACCTCTCCCCTGAACTTCAGACCACACATTCCAACCCATATTCCATCTGGATGTCTAGTAGGCAACTCAAATGCAATACACCCAACACTGAGCTTCTGATCACATCCTCTCCCCAAAACTAGGTCCTCATCTCAGTCAATGGTAACTCCATTCTGCCAGTTGCTTAAGCCAAAAGCCTTGGTGTCAGGTTGGCTGGCTTTCTCTCTCACTGCCCACATCCCATTCATAAGCAAATCTTGTAAGTTCTACCTTCAAAATAATCTAAAATTCACTCTCACCACCCCACTATGACCACCTTGCTCCAAGCTACCATTACTTCTTGCCTGGATTTCAATGGCCTAACAAGTCTCTCTGTGTCTGTCTTTGCCCCTGAATCCTGTTCTCAACACAGCAACTAGACTGGTGATATTAAAATATGTTGTTAGATCATTACACTCCTCTGTTGAAAATACCTCAAATATTTCCCATTTTAGAGTAAAAGCAACATTCTAATTGTGACTTACAAGGTCTCATATGATCTACCCTACCAAACTCTGTTACCTTGTTTTCTACTGTTTTGCCCCTAGTTCTCTCCACTCAGGCCACACTGGCATTCCCTGTGTGCTTTGACTACATCAGGAATGCAAACCTCAGTGCTTCTGCACTTGCTGTTAACCTTGGCCTGAAGTTCAATTCCTCTCTTTATATGCATAGTTAACTCCTTCGCTTCTCTCAAGTTTTTATTCAAAAGTCACTTTCCCTAGCTACCTTCTCTAAAATGCTAAACCACCCTCCTACCACATCACTTTATCTCACCTTTTCCTGGTACTTATCACTATTTGATACACTATATGGTTCACTTATGTATTTATCTTGTTTATTGTCCTTCTACCCAGCTAGAACATAGGCTCCACAGGGGCAGAGATTTTTTAACCTGTTTTGTTCACTGTTACATCCCCGTTTCCTAGAACAGCATCCAGTACACAGTAGACAATATTTTTTGAAAAAATGAATTACTGAATAAACGAAGACAGACTAAAAAAGTCTCCCCAAATTTCACCACCCTAACACTACTACTAGCTTTTTAGTTGTATCTATTACATATTAAAACACTAGGTTCCTTTTCTGGACTATATATTCTATAGGTTGATTTGTCTATCATGTGCCAAGTTACCAGAATGTTTAAAGTTGTGAGCTTATAATGTGGCTTAATATTTGGTAGTATTAGTGGTCCCTTATTATTTTTTAACAGTATTTTCTTTGGTCTCTTGCCTGCTTATTCTCACAGGTGAACTTCAGAATCATGGACAAATTTCCCAGGATTTGATCTGTTCAAAATGTGGTCTTCCTGTTAACAAATGTACTACTTCTGGCTCTTCCCTTAAGCTGTTTCCACTCTCAGTAAAATATTAAAAGTTTTCTTCAAACAAGTCACAAATAATCTCGAAGGACTATTCCTACAAAATATGTATTTGTTGTTAATCTTGTTCTGTTTTACAAGAGAAACACAGATGAATGGTATTCTATGTATTTACAATTTTCAACCAAGATAACTGAACACACCTTTTTTTATGTCCCTTCTACCCACTAGAAAACTGCTACATGAAATTTTCTATCGCAGTATAACCAAAGTTCCTGGATTCCAGTACTTGCTCAGCATTTGATTCAGGAACCTGGTTTCAAATACCAGAGGAGGAGCTTGGAAAAATCTTTTTTTAATTAATTTAATTTCTTAAAATCTTGTGAAAGTGAAGTTAGTGATGGATCCTACAGCCCTGTCTGATTGTCCTCTGCACTAGACTGTGTGCCTTAATTCTGGGAAGGTATTGGGGTAGCTGGCCTCTGGATACTGCCTGGGTAAGACTGTACATACAGGGCCTGTGCCCTGTAGAGGACGAGTAAGCGCATTCTGCCACACGTAGGCTGAGTGGCATTTGATGCAAGCCGCTTGATTTCTGCCCCTCTATTCCATTCATCTCAATTCCTCTGTGTTCACTTCCTGGATCTCTAGAGTCAACCATCCCCAAGGAGCTAGTCTAAGGCACTCCTCTCGCGGTAACACCACCACTGCAGGTCGTGAGCTCTGCTACCCGCTGCAGCAGGAAGCCCAAGGAGGACAGCGCCCCTCCCTCCCGGCTCGCCC